ATTAGATGTTTTAATGTGTTTCAGAGTGATTGTCACTAGATAATATTGTGTGATTACGTATTAAATGTTTTAATTTGTTTCAGAGTGTTTACCCCTGGAGGATGTGAAGATAACATTCCTGCCACTGAACTCTCTTCCAGATCTCCCTAAGAAGTCCAAATATAAGAATTGCTTCCACTCTGTATATTTTGCTAACAGGTGGGTAAAATTAACCTAAAGGCTTCAAATAACTTTCTTCCTCAGAACATATCAACTTTATAGTGTTGGAAACAGGCAGGTTTAGTTGCCCCTGGCCAGATAGATTGTGGTCAGTGCTACAACATCTGTCTATAGAATCAGGGTTTAAAACTGTCATGCATTTTCTGTCTAACTGTTTCCTGTAGTATCATACTGTTTCATGGTAATGACAGAAAGTAATGGACTTTTTTGTAATACAATTGCACAGACTTTTAATTGTTTAGCCTTTATTAATTAAGTACTTCAGTAACTGACTCCAGCTGTACAGTATTCAGATATTCTATCAGTCTTCTCCATTAATGAATGTTGTTATATATTACAGTTTAGTTCATCTTTTGACTCCTGAGGTGGCACCCACCTTCAGAGATTCTGCGACTGTGATCTTGGAGACAGCAAGGTATCAGTAGATGTTTATACAGCATGATGTCAATAGCCAATTTACAATGGACATTCATACAGCATGACATGTTCATAGCAATGTAACAGTTGACAGCTATACAGCATGACATGTTAATAGCAATGTAACAGTTGACAGCTATACAGCATGACATGTTAATAGCAATGTAACAGGGGACATTCATACAGCATGACATGTTAATAGCAATGTAACAGTTGACAGCTATACAGCATGACATGTTAATAGCAATGTAACAGTTGACAGCTATACAGCATGACATGTTAATAGCAATGTAACAGGGGACATTCATACAGCATGGCATGTTAATAGCAATGTAACAGTTGACAGCTATACAGCATGACATGTTAATAGCAATGTAACAGGGGACATTCATACAGCATGACATGTTCATAGCAAGGTTACAATGGACTTTTATACAGCATATATGTATAGCTATGTAACAATTGACTGCTTACATTAGATATATATACAGCATGACATGTTTACAGCAACTTGAAGGTAACACTGGCCATTTTTTCGCAAAGTAACGGTTTATATTTATACTGCAATCCATGTTTATAGCAAGGTATCAAATTGAATAAACATTTATTTAGCATGACATGTTTAAGCAAGGAAACATTGGACATTTATACAGCATGATGCGTTTACAGCCAAGTAACCTTGGACATTTATATAGTACGACATGTTAATAGCAAGCCTACTCACTGAGAATAGCTGCTTATATAATCTCATTTTGTTACCAAATGCCACGAAGAAATGAACCCAGCAGTATGCTTTGACTGTATTTTACTGCTTTTATTAACATTACCTAACCTACTATATAAATTGTAATAAGGCATTTTAAATTATTACCTAGTAACCAACTATATAAATTGTAATTAGGCATTTTGAACTGTTTCCTGATTCATTTTGATGTTTTTTGCACATTATGAAACAGTCAAAACTGTTTACCCGGTCACAGAATGAACTGTTGCATGGCTGAACTAATCCATTATGACGTCATAATTAGTTTCCCGTACTTTACAGCTATAATATTGAATTATGTATAAATTGAAGCATTTTCATGGCAATACATTTGAAATTATCATTTGAAGAGTAATCCTAATACCCATATAGATATATAAATAGATATTCAATTTAATATCATGTGAAAGAAGAGGCCAAGAATACCTTTTCTGAAGGAAATTTTGGAAAAATGTAGGCTCCTTTCACTCACTATAGATCTTTGCCTTTTAAAACGTCCGACTCAGTGTGTTATATTCAAACCTTCAAGTCATCTTATGTTTTTTACTAAATTAATACATATATACATCAGTATTTATTAGGACATGATAACACTAAGAAGTAATGCAAACTTTTGTTGATGTGTCTATATCATTATCCTTTAAGAAATTATATAGTAGGTTAGGTAATAAAACATTTATTTCATGACAACTTGCAGTCATGAAATAAGTGTATACTGTTTATTCCTATATAAAATATAATATCATCAGTCTATTTGTATATCTGCCTTTTTTTCTTGTCTTTATTTCTGATGAGGTCATTAAATTATGTCTTCTGAAATTTTACAGGTATATGCTGGAACTAAAAGATGAACAGGAAGTGGAATTTGCCAACAAAGTTGTGGGATTAGCTAAGGCAGCTGGTTGTCAGGTAATGTTGTTAGGTTATGGGATAAGCTAAAGCAGCTGATTATCATGTAATGTTGTTAAGTTGTGGGATTAGCTAAGGTAGCTGATTTTCAGGTAATGTTGTTAAGTTGTGGGATTAGCTAAGGCAGCTGGTTGTCAGGTAATGTTGTTAAGTTCTTGGATTAGCTAAGACAGGTGATTGTCAGGTAATGTTGTTAACTTGTGGGATTAGCTGTGGCAGCTAGATGCCAGGTAATGTTGTTAATTTATGGGATTAGCTAAAGCAGCTGATTGTCAGGTAATGTTGTTAAGTTGTGGGATTGGCTAAGGCAGCTGATTGTCAGGTAATGTTGTTAAGTTCTGGGATTAGCCAAGGCATCTGGTTGTCAGGTAATGGTGTTTAGTTGTGGGATTAGCTAGGTAGCTGAATGTCAGGTAATGTTGTTAAGTTATGGGATTAGCTAAGGCAGCTGATTGTCAGGTAATGTTGTTAAGTTGTGGGATTAGCTAAGGCAGCTGATTGTCAGGTAATGTTGTTAAGTTCTGGGATTAGCCAAGGCATCTGGTTGTCAGGTTATGGTGTTTAGTTGTGGGATTAGCTAGGTAGCTGATTGTCTGGTAATGTTGTTAAGTTATGGGATTAGCTAAGGCAGCTGATTGTCAGTTAATTGTATAGTCATAGGGTAAGCAAAAACAACTGTTTGTCAGTAAATTGTATAAAGTCATAGGGTAAGTAAAGGCAACTGGTTGTCAGGTAAGTCGCAAGCTTAGCTAAAGCACTTGGTTGTCAGGTAATTATATAACAGTGCAGGGTTAGCTAAGGCAATGGGTTGTCAGGTTATGAAGTAAACTTGTAGGGTAAGCTACAGCAAACAGTTATATAGTAATCTCAATAAGTTGGACTAGTTGTCTGGTAATTAGTGTAATAGGAATTTGGTCACTGGCCTAATAATCACAGCACCAAATTGTGTAACAGGTAAGGAGAAAATGTACAGCTGGACCGAGAATCAAACACAGGTAAGGAGAAAATGTACAGCTGGATCGAGAATCAAACACAGGTAAGGAGAAAATGTACAGCTGGATGGAGAATCAAACACAGGTGAGGAGAAAATGTACAACTGGACCGAGAATCAAACACAGGTAAGGAGAAAATGTACAACTGGACCGAGAATCAAACAGAGGTAAGGAGAAAATGTACAGCTGGACCGAGAATCAAACACAGGTAAGGAGAAAATGTACAACTGGACCGAGAATCAAACATTGGACCCCTTCATCACTAGACAGGTGCTCTACCTACTGAGTTACCCTGGTCTGATATCCATGGCCCAAGTCACTACATTAATAGGTTAAGTCTTAGGGTTAGACACAATTGGTGTTTTGGGTAATTCTGTAAAGTTTAAGTCTAGCTATTTAAGCAGGTGATTGACTGGATTCCTGTATAGGCTCAACATAAAGCAACTGTTTATCAGGTCATTCAGTTGTAGGTTATCAATAGTTATGTCAGGAGTACTGCTAAGTTTTGAGGTAAGTCAACACAGCTCATTATTATGTAATTTAGATCTCTTGCAAGCTACTGGATTATGGAAAAAAGTTATAAATTAAAATCAATGTGATGTACACATAATATAAAGATAAAATCACAAACCCTTACTCAGGACAGTAAACTTTAATCAGCTGGCTTTATTGTCTACATTTCTGATTTACTGAGGTATGTCTTTTGTTGTATTGAAATAGTTTAATCTTATTTTTGTTTTCTTTTTAGGATCCAGGAAACTTTGATGCTAAATCATCAAATGTCATCACCTTTAAATATGAGCGTCCCTCCTCCTGATAGTCATTGGATTTAAGTTTCATTATCATTTTCATTCTAAGAAGACCTTTATTTATTTATTGACAGTGATATCATTTCAAGTTTTAATAGGAATTTTGTTCATCCTTACAAGCCATGGTATTAACTTTAAAAAGTTAAAAATATTCTTTATCAAAGATCAGAATATTGTATTTGCAATAAAAATGTTGTCTTGTTCCCTTATTCGTTGTTATTTTTATATTAAAAAACACTGCCTAGGCTGACAGACAATTAATTGAATGACAAACTTGAATGGACTGACAGGCATTGTCTGGGATGACACACATTGACAGGGCTGACACTGAGTGGGCCCTGAGTGGACAGAAATTATCTGCGCTAACATTGACTGGGCTGACAAACTTGAATGGACTGACAGACACTGTCTGGGATGATACACATTGACAGGGCTGATACTGAGTAAGCCCTGAGTGGACAGAAATTATCTGCGCTAACATTGACTGGGCTGACAGACTGTTTGGGATGACAGACACTGTCTAGGCTGACTGATGTTGTCTTGGCTGACAAACACTGCCTTGGCTGACAGACATTGACTGGGTTGACAGACATTATCTAGGCTGACAGACACTGTCTTGGCTGACTGATATTGTCTGGACTGGTTGATATTGTCTTGACTGACAGACACTGTGACTTGACTGACATTGACTTGACTTACAGACATTGACTGGACTGACAGACACTACCTTGACTGACAGACATTGACAAGGCTGACAGACACTGCCTTGACTGACATTGACTGATAGAGACACAATCTGGGCTGACAGACATTGACTTGGCTGACAGACATTATCTGGGCTGACTTGACTTGGATGACACTGTCGTTACTCACTGACTCCCCAGACTTGACAGGGTGACTTGCCAATGACATCACTTTTAAAATATAAGTAATCAGAGATTATATAGCATCTATAAATGATCATAGTTTTACACATTCATAGCACAGGTACTTGTGGACAGGACCCCCCCCCCCCCCCCCCGATATTGAACCCCGGGACTTGGACATTTTTTTCACAAATTATATTTATTGCACTTATTCATCGTGTGTACCATAGGAAAAAAATCGTGAAAACCCAAAAATAATCGTTCCACACAAAAAATACCCCACTATACATTATAAGAGAGACTTTCTCTCTTATAATGTATAGTGGGGTATTTTTTGTGTGGAACGATTACTTTGGGGTTTTCACGATTTTTTCCTATGGTACACACGATGAATAAGTGCAATAAATATAATTTGTGAAAAAAATGTCCAACAAGTCCCGGGGTTCAATATCGGGGGGGGGGGGGGGGGGGGGGGTGGTTCCTGTCCACAAGTACCTGTGATTCATAGTGTCTGTCAGAGGGAGCATGGATGTTTATATATACCACCATCTTGGTACATTGATGATTTGGAAAGGAAATTTATTCAGTTATGTGCAAGAATCTTGATGAATTTTATAGAGATTGTCAGTCTAGCTTGGTCACATGTTCAAATCGGCAATTAATCTCTTATATGAGTTCAATATTATGAATCTTAGTCAAGCTGATAATTGTACAGTTTAACTTTGGTATCTTGAACGACAGGGTTGGGTTCAGGTTCAACATGTCCAATAACAGGAACACGTCCAAGTGTCCTGACATTATGCATTTCAAACTTCAGTATCTCAAACACTCATCTGAAATATTTCAAAATTATTTGACTTGTTCCAAATATCTCCAATTAAGGTAAACAATACAGATCTTCACACATATAACAACAGTAAAGAAATATGATGCGATATATAAATTATATAATATTATTTACTGTTTAAAACAAATACAAATATTTATTGCACAAGATAACATAGTCCACATCACAATCAGCACACGTATACAGAATATTCCGCACGAGTGAAGCTGGGTCAATTACTGGTGTCTGGTTCTATGAGGGGCTGCTGTTTCCTTCCAATGTTGGCAGAGTCTTTATATATTACTGGCCCCTTGCTTTTCACAAGCTTCTATAACTTGTTGTAGGTTTGTATCAAATAAATCACATCTGTAATAAATGACATTAGGCTAAATCAATGAGAAATTTAACCAATGGTTGCTTATAACTTGTAAGTTTGTATCAAATAAATAAATTTATCAATTATAATACACAAGCTGTTAATCAATTAACAATGTTTGAGGGTGTTTGGGCTACATTTAAAACCAAGGCCATTATAACATTAGGCAGTGTGCAGTCAAAACCTGGAGATTGTTAGGTGTGAATTTCTTACTATGTCGAGATATATAGGGTCATCAATATGTAACAAACAGCCATCAGACAAAAACTTATGTTTAGCAGAGTAGAAAACTGTCCCAATGTCAACATACACCAGGTAAATTTTGCTCTTTGGATTATGAATATACATCAAGATAAGCAAGTAGTAGACAATATTGAGGTCTTCATACACAAGTTTTTGCAAATTATTTATTAATTAAGGAAATACCAATGGGATCGTGGACAGACATTGAATATCCCAGGTTGTTGACCTATCTGATGTCGAGATACCGAAATTTACCAGTAAATACATAGTGCCTTACTTCATTTAACAGTGAATACAGACACTTACCGTACTGGCATATCTACAGAATAGAATGGGTTTTTTAGGGCAAAGTCAGAAAACACCTCATACAGCTTCCGTAACAATATATCAACCCCTCCTTGTCGTGGGTCTGTTAGGGCAATAAATTTGATTCCTGCAAAATAAAAACTTTTAGTTTTCCACCATATTCTGACAAAACATAAGTAAATCTTACCTTACTTTGTCAGGCATGACAAAAATAAGCAGAAAAACCTGACCAAAAGTAAAATCCTCTTTAAATCAATTAAGTAATGAAATATGTTTACAAGTATTAGATCTAGTTATAACATTTGAAGGCCAGATCTCTAACACCCTGTAGAAGACTGTACCTGTCATTGTCTGGTAGCAGTGTAATTTAAATCCATCTGTTTCCAGGACTTCAATGCCCGAGGAGTGGGGCTCAGGGGATAGCTGGGAGCCAATGGCAAACAATCTACAATACAGATTTAAAATTATGAAGGTTATTAATCAGATTTATTTGTATTTTGTAAATTTAACAAATAGCAGAGACTTTTTCAGACATTTTTACCTCAATTCTGTAAATATGTTCCACTTTATATTAAATATTTTAACATTTGTTCCGTACAGACCATCATGGTCGTTATTACTCACGAATGAAACATACTGCCCAGCATAATTCGCTCGTTGGTGGTGAGCTTTGTCCGACCAAACTTAAGGTTGATTGGGTAATTCTGGGGGGAATTTATGATTTCCATGGCATCTTTTCCATCACTTTGAAGAAACCTTCCTTCCACAGGCACTCCATTTATTGCCAAAAGTGTATGTCCCACTAGAAACAGAAAGATTGTGTTATATAGCTGGTAATTGGCTTATCTGCTCTATTCACAAACTGAACACCTACAGTTAATAAAACATCCAACAATTGGATCCAACATGTATGCATGTCTTTGGGAGACTGTAACAGTCAATAACCCATCAGTTGTAATGGCTTAGGTCAAATCGTTTGCATTTGACAGATTGTTAAAGTTTAAAGCGCATAGACACAATTGTATGGCACGCCAAATTCACTAAAATGAGCTAATCATAGTTTCACAGTTGATAAACTAGGTTTATCGACTGTAAACTATAGTTTACAGACCGTAAACTATAGTTAACGATGATAATCTATATTTCACATATGTAAACTATAGTTTACACGATAATCTATGTTTCACAAGCGTAAACTATAATTAACACGGAAAACAATCATTTGCTACTGCAAAATATAGTTTATCTGATAAATATAGTTTCACGATTTGTAAACTATGATTTACAACTCTAAACTATACTTAACAAATGTAAATTATAGTTTAGGCTTTGTAAAGTATACTTTACAGACATACAAAGCGCCAAATTCACAAAAATGCGATAAACATAGTTTTACACTTGAGAAACACAGTTTACGAACAGAATCTCTTATTTTGTATCGGAGATGCACAATTTTCTGTGAAACTAGATTTCACGACTCTAAACCATAGTTTACGATCAAAACTATAGTTAACAATAGTTTTTTTTTTTTTGTAAATTATAGATCGGCTAATCCTAGTTACAGCATTATAAGATTTTGCTATATAACGACAATTGTTGTTAAATATATATGCATGTATATTTCTTGTTGGCGTTATAAGTAAATGTTCTATTATTTTAAAGCAAATCCAGTTGGAAATAAAAAGAAAAATGACTGGAAAATTATTAAAATTTTATTTTTAGGTCACCGGAGTCACTCAGGTGACCTATTGCTATCTGTTTTCGTCCATTGTCATCCGTCGTGCGTCGTCCGTAAACTTTTGAACATTTTCAGCTTCTTCTCTTGAACCACTGAACCAATTTCAACCAATTTTGGCATATAGCATCAATGGGTGAAAGGGTACAAAAATTGTGAATTTCATGGTCCCTGCCCCCCTGGGGCCTGAGGGGTGGGGCTAAAACCATCAAAATTAGTGCTATCTTTAAAAATCTTCTTCTTTACTCCTGGACATCAAGCAGTCAAACTGTTGGCATGATTGTAATAAGCATTGAGCCCTCTACCAAAATTGTGAAATTCATGGCCCTAGGGTCAGGGGTTCTGGTGCTAGGGCGGGGCTAGATAGATCATATAGTGAAAGTGCATTATTTCTTTGAAAATCTTCTAATGTACTCCTGGGTATTATTTAAACAAATTAAATACATAGTTATGATAAGCAAGGGTGACTCTACCAAAATTGTGAAATTCATAGCCCCAGGGTCAGGGGTTCTTGGCTAGGGTGGGGCTATAAAGATCATATATTGAAAGTGCATTATTTCTTTGAAAATCTTCTTCTCTACTCCTGGGTATTATTTAAACAAATGAAATACATAGTTATGATAAGAAAGGATGCCTCTTCCAAAATTGTGAAATTCATGGCCCAGGGATCAGGGGTTCTGGTGTTAGGGTGGGGCTATATAGATCCTATAGTGAAGGTGAATTATTTCTTTGAAAATCTTCTTCTCTGCCCCTGGGTATTATTTAAACAAATTAAATACATAGTTATGATAAGCAAGAGTGACTCTACCAAAATTGTGAAATTCATAGCCCCAGGGTCAGGGGTTCTGGTGCTAGGGCGGGGCTATATAGATCATATATGAAAGTGCATTATTTCTTTGAAAATATTCTTTTCTGCTCCTGGGTATTATTTAAACAAATTAAATACATAGTTATGATAAGCAAGAGTGACTCTACCAAAATTGTGAAATTCTTGCCCCAGGGTCAGGGGTTCTGGTGCTAGGGTGGAGCTATATAGATTATATAGTGAAAGTGCATTATTTCTTTGCAAATCTTCTTCTCTGCCCCTGGGTATTATTTAAACAAATTAAATACATAGTTATGATAAGAAAGGATGCCTCTTCCAAAATTGTGAAATTCATGGCCCAGTAATCAGGGGTTCTGGTGTTAGGATGGGGCTATATAGATCCTATAGTGAAGGTGAATTATTTCTTTGAAAATCTTCTTCTCTGCCCCTGGGTATTATTTAAACAAATTAAATACATAGTTATGATAAGCAAGAGTGACTCTACCAAAATTGTGAAATTCTTGCCCCAGGGTCAGGGGTTCTGGTGCTAGGGTGGAGCTATATAGATTATATAGTGAAAGTGCATTATTTCTTTGAAAATCTTCTTCTCTACTCCTGGGTATTATTTAAACAAATTAAATACATAGTTATGATAAGCAAGGATGCCTCTTCCAAAATTGTGAAATTCATGACCCAGTAATCAGGTGTTCTGGTGTTAGGATGGGGCTATATAGATCCTATAGTGAAGGTGAATTATTTCTTTGAAAATCTTCTTTTCTGCCCCTGGGTATTATTTAAACAAATTAAATACATAGTTATGATAAGCAAGAGTGACTCTACCAAAATTGTGAAATTCATAGCCTTAGGGTCAAGGGTTCTGGTGAAAAAAAAGGGGGGGGGGGGGAGGCTCTGTTGATTATATAGTGAAAAAGCAAAATTTCTTTGAAAATATTCTTTTCTGTTCTTGGTTAAAAAGCAAAGAAGCTAAGTGTATAGTTATGATGAGCAAGAGTGCTTCTTCCAGAGTAGTGAATTGCATGACACCTGGGTCAGATGTGCTGGTGTAAGGGTGGGGCTCTTGATAATATAGTGAAAATGCATTAATTCTATTAAATAGTCCTGTCTACCCTTAGTGTTAAGCAGATAAACAAAGTGATTACTTATGATGAGCAAACTTCTGGTCCCAGGGTGAGAGGATCTGGTGTTTCTTGCTGGGGAGGGGGGGGGGGGGGGAGGGGCTCTATTGATAATAGAGTGAATCTGTAATAAAAATGCATTATTTCTTTAAAAATCTTCTCCGCACCTGGGCATATCAGAGGCAAAAAGAGTAAAAGTTTTAATAAGGAAGAGTATTTTTACCAGATTTTTGAACACCTGGACCATTTGGTCAAGTGTTCTGGTCCTGGCCAGGGCTCTATTAATTTGTATTCTACTGAGAGGAGTTATTCCCCTTTGCCATTTACTATTGATAATTAAAGCTGAACATGATTCGTAAATGCAATGTGTCCGCCATTTTTGTTCGGATTCTCGCTACATCTGAGGACCCCTATATAAAGGGCCTGACTTGGACACTGTTCAGTATAATCAGTCGACACCGGTGTAGACGGACGTATGCTATACAGCACTCGGTAGCAACAAAAATAACTAATATCTCGTCTAATACAAAAGAAACTTACAATTATAGTTGTACAGGTCAGTGCAGTATACAAACAAACATAGATACACGTAACTAAAATAAAATGTAAACAAAGGTAATGCAAGATAACCAGCACGAACACGGGTTGCCATTCCACGCCGATACCCGTGACAATAAAGCAGTCAGGTGTAACGAATCTGAAGAGTATACCCTGGTGTTGATGTATCGTAGATATAATATCGAAAATGGTGTATGCCTATTTACGAGTCGTGTTCAGCTTTAATCACTGTAAGTAATGTACTTGAAAGGTTAATGGAATAAGAGAATTATGCAAGAGTGTTTATTGTATAATACATAAGGACTTTCATAGTTTTAATGATCAGATATACTTGTAAGTAATAGATAAATAAAAATGAGACAAAAATAACTTGTCTTTTTAAATGTTCATCAAAGACCAAGAGAAGCCAATGTAAGAGATTTTAACAAGGAATTAAAATAGTACAGAAGCACTGATAGTTTGCTATTTAATATACTGTATGGTGATAGTGATAAATGGGGAACAGATTAGAATCTAATTTATGAACTGTTAATGAATACTAGACTAATTATTTTGTTGATCCTGATCACCCTATTTTTCTTGCTTTTGGGCAACAAAGCTTCACCTTTCAGTTCATTTTATACTCTATGGATCCTCTAAATTGTTGTATTATACTCAGGTGACCGTTAAGGCCCTTGGGCCTCTTGTTTTTATTTAAAAGAGAAAAATAGAGACCGAAATGCATGATCTGTCATTAATAAAATACATGTATATCTTATATTCATCTGTAAATAAAGACATAACACAGTACATGTAACATTGCAGGCGCGGAATTTATTTTTCAACAACCGAATTTTCTTCATACATAAATAAAAGTGGCCTTTCACGGAACAAACACAACAAATATTTGGGACTTCTCCCTCATTCTCTCTCTCTTAAATTCAAAGGAGGACGTTGAAACCCCCACAACCCTATCTATATCCGCCACTGCATTTCCTCTCTTTCAGTTTCTTTGTTTTGGTGATGTGATGTGGCGGGAAAATGCTTGGCACATTGTAAAACGCGCTTCACCCTCCTCTGCTTGAGCAAAAATCTCGTAATATTCTGTCTTTTAAAAAAATTAAAATTTTATCATATTTCTAAAAATTTCCCCATAGGAAATGTATATATACACGACATTTTAAAACAAATACAATTAATCCTGTTTAAATAGAGAAAGTAATATTGATTATATATAACTCGGTCTTTGCTTTAGATAATGCCCAACACGTGTCCTTAATATTCTCCGCACTGATAAAACCAGAGACATATACCCCATTATTGCTTCTCGCGATTGGTGCCGCGAAATTTCGAATTGAAAACTATCGTTAACAGGTGTTTAGATTCATAAACTATATTTAACAACTCCTAACTATAGTTTACGAGTGTGAATTATAGTTTATTACGATAAACTATGATTGGCAAATGTGAATCATAGTTTAGCTCTCAAAACTATAGTTTACGATCGATAAGTATAGTTTACGTCTGTTAAATATAGTTTGTGAGTATAAATGACAGTTAACTATAGTTTACAACCGAAATCTATGTTTAACGAATGTAAAACATAGTTTATCTGATAAATATAGTTTCACGATTTGTGAAACTATGATTAACAACTCTTAACTATAGTTCACGATTGTAAATTATAGTTTACAGATGTGAATCTATGTTTATCAACAAAATCTATTGTTAACGTTTAATTACAGACAGATAAACTTAGATTAGCATTCGTAAACTATAGTTAACAACCGTTAAATATAGTTTTATAGATGAAAACTATAGTTAACGAATCGTTAACTATAGTTCACGGTTTGTAAACTATAGTTTACACTCGATAAACCTAGTTTATCAACTGTGAAACTAAGTTTCGCTAATTTTTGTGAAATTGGCGTGCCATACAATTGCATTGCCATTTTCTTTGAATGACCCTCAAAAGAATGGGGTGGGTTAATGGAAACATGCTGTTAAGAGATAAACTTTCTTCACAGCCAGTTTCAATAGCAGGCAAGAACAAACTGTTTTGAGACTTTAATAACATTAATATGTTTATCATTGCAAATTTCTGTATCAGAAGTCTAGTATCAAATCACCTTTGATTCCATCCCTTTCACCAAATGCTACGACCAGTTTCTCATCGTGTTGTTTAAGAACAAGCTCTAGTGGAAAACTGAAAGTTTTCTCTACTTCTGGCCTCTGTGTGTAGTGATCATATTGAAAAATCAATCCCCCAGCTTTGTTTATAATAAAAATACTAAATATTCCCATGATAATGATGATTGTTCTCCATTGAGATTTACACGTACCTTCTTAACTTAGAGAGTTCTACTTCACGGCCCACAACTCCGGAGGTTTTATTGTTACAAAAAGCACTGCAGACCACCGTTTAAGAATTTCATGAAAAATGTAAGTTATTGGATACTTCACAATTTTGTTAATGATAGAATGCTTAAAAATATGCAACGGTGGATGTAGTTTACGTTTAATTGTCGAAAAAATGTATTAACTTTATTGAATATTTTGTTTTCAATCGTTGTCGTTATTAGTCATAGAGGATGTGACGTCATCTTTTTGTTGACATTTTTTTTGCTACATGTGATTTCCAAATACACATACGCTACATTTTTTGAAGAATGTCTTTTTAAATTTAGATAATGTAATCAATGTAAAGAATTGAGTATTATAAAGCACCAGGGACCTCTGTTTGAAGGATTTCTTACAGTTGAACATTAATGCTCATGCAGAGCTGATGAGAATATACTATTATTAAGGCTAAAAATACATGCTTGAGTTGGTTGTTTGAAGTTTGATTGCCTTGTTTACTCAACACATACTGATTGTTTGTATGGTATGTTTACAATCCCAGATAATGTGTGGTTTTTTTCTATGCAGCAGTACAATATGACAACTATTGTCCTGGCAGCTTGATAGCTGGCCTGTCTACTTTCTTATTATATACTATCAAATGTTTTAATTCAAATCAAGTCTTTATGTTTGCATAAGATTATAATTAAAAGATATATTATACAGTGTTTCACACCTATCTGGACTGCTAGCTCGAATCATATTATATGATTGTGATCTCTGGTGGTCCGTGAGACAGCTCTATCATTCCCGGTTGGTAATGCACCTGACTAGAGTTTAGGGAGCCTGGGTTTTGAATCCTGGTCTGGTCCATAACATTTTCCTCCTTTTTATTACACATGCATTAATTTAATCTCGACCAAACAGTGAAAAATGTACATGTGTACTAGCTGGCAAACAATAAAAAGTTTGAAGTATAATGACAAGAAGACTTATTAAATTTGTTTTCTAATCAATTTGCCCATGCAAATATACCCCAGTATGCAAGCATCATTTTTGATTTGCATATAATGGAGGAACAGCTAGCTCAGATTATCAACCTAACATTTATGCATGGAGGATGCAAGGAGTATATATATTCAGACACCTTGACAATTAGTTAATGTGCTTTTGGACCAGGGCGTGGTATAATTGCATGTACATGGCTGAAAGATGACTATGCAGTACATGTTTTTCTAATGTCCCTATTCTTCCCTATAGCCATAATTTTTTGCTTCAAGCATTGTAAATAAAATATCTGTACCTAGTCTAATTATTTACCATATATACTTGCCTATAAGTCGGTTTTTTGGGAGTTAATCTTTGGTCCAAAAACCCCTGTCCGACTTATAGGCGAGTTATAAAACTATTGGTATTATAGCGGGTCAATCCCTTTAATGTAAGCTTAAAAAATAAAACCGACTTATAGGCGGACCAACTTATAGGCGAGTATATACAGTAACTGTTTCATGCTTTTAATTGATTCAGAAATATCTTTTTATTTGGAGACAATATAACAGAATTACAATTGTGAGTACATTATACATACAAGTAGTTGAAAACTATTCACAATTAGATACAGAAGAAAAATACATTTATCAAAAAATCCTACTATGAAATATTTATTTTTAGCTGGAAACCCTAAAACACACATGTATGTTCCTTTGGCCTAACTGTATACCAAATATGTATTATAATAGCAGGTATATAGACCAGAAATCGGTGCACACATACTGGCCAGTGATTCATGCTAGTATATAATTTGGTTTAATATTTACACAGGTACAACATTGACAGGATAAATCTAGATCAATACACAACAGCATCAGCCCCTGTGTGCAGCCACTGTGTCTGATCAATTAATTACCCCTAACTAGGTCACTCTTGCAGTGTGTATGGCAACTTAATTGACAGAGTGCTATTTATAGATTCTTAAATCCATTCAATATTTTTAGCTGTTGAACATGTTGAAGGAGAAAATTAGACAGGAGGTACAAGTGATTTCATCAGTTACTATTTATAGACACCTGAGGCATGTTAGCCTGAGGTAGAATTGTCTTTACCTGTACCTGTTCAGTTAAACAGTGAATGGGATATAAAATTCATCATGTTTTCTCATCAGCTATATAATTTTGTACAATTTATTGTAGATTAAAAATGAAGATGTAGCAAAGAAAACTTAGGAACCCAAGCCTGGAGATGATCAGATTGAAATTAACGATAAACAGAGATACTTAAGTCACAAAACAGTAAGTACAGGTAAATTACATTAAATATACATGTACATATGTACATTGGAATTGGTGGATATACACTTAAAGATCAAATTCAGAACCATGCATGTGATGAATGTTTTGGTTCAAGTGTAGAATTCTGTTAAATAATTGATAAAATGTAGAATTTGATAAAAAATCCAGCATTATATAATGTACAAAAAACACTCTGTGTCTAACTTTAAATATGAACTTAGGGATAAGATAAATGTCTTAATTACTGATTGTTTACAGTGCCCCTGCCATGAGTTGATCAGACAGGGAGTTGTGATGGCAGGCTGTGATGCTCCAGGTGCTTGCTATCATGACTATGCTAACGACACAGCTTTGTCTCTGTCACTCAAACAGTTCCAGCTGTCCAAAAATATCGTATGTCAGAAGTGTGGACAGTTTCATGAGCCGTACGGGACTCATCTTTATGACTACCACCAAGCTGTAGATGAAGATCTCATGTGTCAAGTAAGTAGTCACATTTAGTCACCTGTTTGACTAACACCAAATTGTAGATGAAGATTTCATGTGTCAAGTTTGTAGTCACATTTAGTCACCTGTTTGACTACCACCAAATTGTACATGAAGATCTCATGTGTCAAGAAAGTAGTCACATTTATTCAGCTGTTTGACTACCACCAAGCTGTAGATGAAGATCTCATGTGTCAAGTTAGTAGTTACATTTAGTCACCTGTTTGACTACCTCCAAACTGTAGATTAAGATCTCTTGTGTCAAGTAAGTAGTCACATTTAGTCACCTGTTTGACTACCACCAAGCTGTAGATGAAGATCTCATGTGTCAAGTTAGTAGTCACATTTAGTCACCTGTTTGACTACCACCAAGCTGTAGATGAAGATCTCATGTGTCAAGTTAATAGTCACATTTATTCACCTGTTTGACTACCACCAAGCTGTAGATGAAGATCTCATGTGTTAAGTTAGTAGTCACATTTATTCACCTGTTTGACTACCTCCAAACTGTAGATTAAGATCTCTTGTGTCAAGTAAGTAGTTGCATTTAGTCACCTGTTTGACTACCATAAGACTGTGGATGAAGATTTTGTAGCAGATGAGTGTTTACTTTTAGAATTTCTCTGACTATCAATAAGTAGGGATGAAAATGTTTGATGCATCAATTGCATCCATGAAACTCCATTGACAAAGATTTCATTGTAAGAGTTTATTTATTTGTTTAAGTTGTCAAATGCATTAGTAAATCAAGACTTTTAACATTTATATACATATATTCACAATATTCCAATCATTAAATATTCACAGATCTGCCTTCAGCCATTGGTAAATCCTCTGGACACTAAATGTGGCCATACTTACTGCTCAAGGTGCTTGAAGAACTACCTCAAAATCCAGCGACAGTGTCCTGTGGACAGACAGCCCCTGGCTGTTCATGATGTACAGTCATCCAGTATTCTAGTACGACGGTAAGTTTATGATGTACAGTCATCCAGTATTCTAGTGCGACGGTAAGTTCATGATGTACAGTCATCCAGTATTCTAGTGCGACGGTAAGTTCATGATGTACAGTCATCCAGTATTAAGTTCTTGATGTCCAGTCATCCAGACTATTCTAGTGTAAAGGTAAGTTTGAGAACATTATGATATTTACAATGATCTGAAGTGTGTTTCAGATGTTGAGTAGTGGTTTTAGATACATGGTGCAGCATATTCATACATGTATTATTTGTCATTGATCTAGTAATATGAGCAAAAGGGATGAGCAACGTGAAATTGTGCCAGTCGACACACTGCAATTATACATGTATATTACTATACTTGTATTTTATTTGCACAATTTATTAATTGGAAATGTACAGAGTTTATCTGGTACTCATCAAAAGGTCCTAGAAAAATTGCTACTTAGTTACTCTGAAAATATGCAAATCCTGTAGTTACTCTGAAAATATGCAAATCCTATAGTTTTTACGAAAAATTTTTGATATTCAAATAAAATTTACAAACATCAACAAGTATTTTATAGGTGTTTATAGAGTTGTGGCAGGTAGTCAATAAATGGGGTTTGTTTATACCCCGCAGCAGACAAGTAATTCTCTCATATTGTAGTGTGCATCGTTATATACTAAATTAGACTAAATGAACATTTTTAACTTGTGTACTGTTAATTGTGTTAGGCAAGCTACTGGGTACTTAATTGGAGAGAGGAACAATTAACCAGTTACTAGATTTTGTCAATTTTACAACCCTGGTATTTTACTTGAGGATTGTCAGTTTTCAGTTTACCATCATAGCTACTAAAAACAAAATAAAGTCTTGTTAGTTTTATTCTTATTTTAGGTTTTTAACTTTTGATGGACATATCCGATGTAAATACCTGTAACCCACATTATTATGGGGTTAATCCAACTAAACAAAGCTATACAAAGAACGGGGGCACTTTTGATTGGCATTGGGCAGGAATCTGGGCACTTGAAAAGTGAAAATTTTATTGTACTGTCACATGAAGTTTTAGCATTCTTTTGATGTATTGGGTTCCTGTGAAATAAGAAAGGGAAATATTCTCCTGATGTTGTGTTTTAGAAAGTGAAAGATTGTGAATATATGTATAAAAATGTTAAAAGCGCTGATTTAATAGTGCAGTTGGCAACTTAAATAAATAAATAAACTCTTACAATGCTTTGCCAATGGAGTTTCATGGATAACTTAAACAGTATAACAATTGATGCATTAGACATTTTCATCCCTACTTATTGATAGTCATAGAAATTCTAAAGTTCTGCTTTTTTGCACAATGTGCCTCTCAGCTATGTGAAGATTTATGCAAAAGACTTGGTCACCTTTATTTCAATTTCTGGTATACACCCAATCAAGCTGTAAATTTATACATTCATACAAATCTACCATTAATGTTTGCATAAGAACACAAAGGGAAAAAAAGAAGTTTATGTTTAAGAAACTGAGAATGAGATAAAATTATACAATGTACAGTATCAATGATTGAATGAAGAGAAAGAGTTGTTCCCCTTTAACTGCTATCTATACTTTAGTCCAAAGAACAGAGTGAGGTCAATGATTATGTAATAATCAAGGGAAATAACTCTGTTATTATGTCATATTGTAGCTTATTGTCAGGGCAAAAGGTTAATGCCTTATGTTAACATGTTAACACTGAGTGCAGATTTTTATCAGAAATGAATATTAAATAAAAAGAAATAATAAGAGATGAAGGGTCAAAGGACAAGATAAGTATTGAAGAATACAAGCTAAATTAAAACTTACTTTCAGCTTTCACAAAAATATCTGCATCATTTAAATATCTGCATTGTTACACATTTAAAATTTTTCAACATGGATAATGAATTCTCATCCATGACAAATCATGCAGCGCTGCAGTGTATGACTTTGCTTTGAAGTAGAATTAAAAACTGATATAAGCAGATTTATCCCATGTTTACCCCTTTATCCCGTGGATATGACTCATTGGATAATTTTTTTATAATCCACAGTTAAGTGCAGTTGTGACGTCACAATGGTTTTTGCGTTAGCGTGATGACGTAAAATAAAGTAGAGTCCTATATAAAACAGTGTAAAACATTGGTTGTGAAGTATTAAACATGGGATAAAAAGAATCTCCCATGATTTGTAGTTGGATATGACTTTTATCCAACTCGTTGTGTGTTTTTATCCCCTCGCCAAGGCTCGGGGATAAAAAACACACAAATCGTTGGATAAAAATCATATCCAACTACAAATCATGGGAGATCCTATATTTAATCAATTTATATCTGAGAATGAAGTACTGGTATATCTATTTTGATCTTAGAAGGTGTGTTCTGGCCATATTTGAATTTAATATAGAGACATGATTCTAGAAGAATTTCTATTTATTTCTTTTTAAATATGGTGAATCAACTAAATATGCATAGCATGTTATCAGTATTAAATGTAACTTTACTGCCTGTATGAGGTATTTGTCAGTGTCTCATTTTTGTCAAATATAAAAACTCTTTTTATGTATCATTCTAAAATGAGATATTTACAAATTAAACCAAAAGTCTATATGTGAAAAGCAGCTTCTTAAAGACTGCTTGTCATCCTTAGTTACAGTGTCCAATGTCATCCTTAGTTACAGTGTCCAATGTCATCCTTAGTTACAGTGTCCCTTGTCATCCTTAGTTACAGTGTCCAATGTAATCCTTAGTTACAGTGTCCCATGACATCCTTAGTTACAGTGTCCCATGTCATCCTAAGTTACAGTGTCCAATGTCATCCTTAGTTACAGTGTCCAATGTCATCCTTAGTTACAGTGTCCAATGTCATCCTTAGTTACAGTGTCCAATGTCATCCTTAGTTACAGTGTCCAATGTCATCCTTAGTTACAGTGTCCCTTGTCATCCTTAGTTACAGTGTCTAATGTCATCCTTAGTTACATTGTCTAATGTCATCCTTAGTTACAGTGTCCCTTGTCATCCTTAGTTACAGTGTCCAATGTCATCCTTAGTTACAGTGTCCCTTGTCATCCTTAGTTACAGTGTCCCTTGTCATCCTTAGTTACAGTGTCCAATGTCATCCTTAGTTACAGTGTCCCTTGTCATCTTAGTTACAGTGTCCCTTGTCATCCTTAGTTACAGTGTCCAATGTCATCCTTAGTTACATTGTCTAATGTCATCCTTAGTTACATTGGCTAATGTCATCCTTAGTTGCAGTGTCCCTTTTCATCCTTAGTTACAGTGTCTAATGTCATCCTTAGTTACAGTGTCCAATGTCATCCTTAGTTACAGTGTCTAATGTCATCCTTAGTTACAGTGTCCCTTGTCATCCTTAGTTACAGTGTCCCTTTTCATCCTTAGTTACAGTGTCCAATGTCATCCTTAGTTACAGTGTCCAATGTCATCCTTAGTTACAGTGTCTAATGTCATCCTTAGTTACAGTGTCCCTATTCATCCTTAGTTACAGTGTCCCTTGTCATCCTTAGTTACAGTGTCCCATGTAATCCTTAGTTACAGTGCCCCATGTCATCCTTAGTTACAGTGTCCCTTTTCATCCTTAAATACAGTGTCCAATGTCATCCTTGGTTACAGTGTCCAATGTCATCCTTAGTTACTTTGTCCCTTGTCATCCTTGGTTAGAGTGTCCAATGTCATCCTTAGTTACTTTGTCCCTTGTCATCCTTGGTTAGAGTGTCCAATGTCATCCTTAGTTACAGTGTCTAATGTCATCCTTATTTACAGTGTCCCATGTAATCCTTACTAACAATGTCATCCTTAGTTACAGTGTCCCTTGTCATCCTTAGTTACAGTTTCCAATGTCATCCTTAGTTACAATATCCCTTGCCATTCTTAGTTACAGTGTCCAATGTCATCCTTAGTTACAGTGTCCAATGTCATCCTTAGTTACAGTGTCCCATGTAATCTTTAGTTACAGTGTTCCTTGTCATCCATAGTTACAGTGTCCCTTGTCATCCTTAGTTACAGTGTCCCTTGTCATCTTAGTTACAGTGTCCCTTGTCATCCTTAGTTACATTGTCCAATGTCATCCTTAGTTACATTGTCTAATGTCATCCTTAGTTACATTGTCTAATGTCATCCTTAGTTACAGTGTCCCTTTTCATCCTTAGTTACAGTGTCCAATGTCATCCTTAGTTACAGTGTCCCTTGTCATCCTTAGTTACAGTGTCCCATGTAATCTTTAGTTACAGTGTTCCTTGTCATCCATAGTTACAGTGTCCCTTGTCATCCTTAGTTACAGTGTCCCTTGTCATCTTAGTTACAGTGTCCCTTGTCATCCTTAGTTACATTGTCCAATGTCATCCTTAGTTACATTGTCTAATGTCATCCTTAGTTACATTGTCTAATGTCATCCTTAGTTACAGTGTCCCTTTTCATCCTTAGTTACAGTGTCCAATGTCATCCTTAGTTACAGTGTCCCTTGTCATCCTTAGTTACAGTGTCCCTTGTCATCATCCCTAGTTACAGTGTCCCTTGTCATCCTTAGTTACAGTGTCCAATGTCATCCTTAGTTACAGTGTCTAATGTCATCCTTAGTTACAGTGTCCCTTTTCATCCTTAGTTACAGTGTCCCTTTTCATCCTTAGTTACAGTGTCCAATGTCATCCTTAGTTACAGTGTCCCATGTAATCCTTAGTTACAGTGCCCCATGTCATCCTTAGTTACAGTGTCCCTTGTCATCCTTAAATACAGTGTCCAATGTCATCCTTGGTTACAGTGTCCAATGTCATCCTTAGTTACTTTGTCCCTTGTCATCCTTGGTTAGAGTGTCCAATGTCATCCTTAGTTACAGTGTCTAATGTCATCCTTAGTTACAGTGTCCAATGTCATCCTTAGTTACAGTGCCCCATGTAATCCTTAGTTACAATGTCATCCTTAGTTACAGTGTCCCTTGTCATCCTTAGTTACAGTTTCCAATGTCATCCTTAGTTACAATATCCCTTGCCATTCTTAGTTAC